AAAGATTATTTCACTATTTGAAGCTACCTCACCTGATTGGAAATAAATTTATTAACATGTAACTCGGTCCAACCTCCAGGCTAATTTTAAGGTGAGGGAATGTAAACTCTGAATATAACCAAGGCATTTAACTCAACTAGGACTCATTCTGGTTCCATGATCAGCTCATAGACAGAAACATATGCCAGAATTTTAAGTATTAAATAGTTTTATAATCAATGCTGCTAAGTCCCTTAAAATTCGTTTCTGCTTTTGTATTTGCAGAATGTGAATAACATCTGTTGATACCCAAATTCCTTATGATGCTGAGTGAGATAGTAATGACATAAATCACTTCCATTTTAAAGAAAAAGTGCTTCTGAAGTGAAACGTATTATTGAAGACCAGGCAAAATCCCAAAACCAGTCTCCAAATTGTGTTCCAAAAAAGTAAGCACCTATATTCTCAAAAGACAAAAAACAACTGACTGTAATTCCATTTGGAGAAACTACCCCCACTTTTGTCTTATAAACAATCCTACAGACAGTATATAATTTGTTTTGTTTTGTTTTCTACTGACACTATAAATCAAATGTTTTCAATTGACACTGTAACTAGAAAACTGAATCTAAATGCCTCACTGGTTAACACAGCCTTACAAGATCTGGAGTCTTCTGGCTTCTCTTCCAAATCCCAGATCTTTGACTACATATTTCAAATTGAAATATGAGTGTGTCAGTTAGAGGGTTCACACCGAATCCAGAAACTCCAGATTTTTGCTATAGGATTATAGCTATAAAAGCATGTCCTAGAATTATGGTTAATCTTTTTCTTTCACATATTCTACTTTAACTAAATGTATTATTTTTGTTGTTGATAGGTTAATAGTGCTTTCATGTATGGAAGTTCTGATTCATCAACAGATAGAAAACCATGCTCTTGAGACTCCATTATTTCATCCTCCATTTCACAAAATCCCTCTTGCAACGATTAGAAAGATGACTGGTCGAACTGAAGGGGCCCTCTGTTAAACTAAAAGAGGTTTTTGTCTGGGGAGGGGGATTTGCATTAAGTAAAATGAAAGAAATTTAAATTCATGATCTTTGATTCTTAATATCATGGTCTAATAAATTGAACTAACCATTCCAAATATTACAAAAATGTGATCCAACATTTATTGGGAAAATATTACCTTCGGTATTTAGTTAATGAATGTATTCTAGATTCTAATGTTTTTACTATGTTGGCAAGCAAGAAAAGATCTATAGGATTGATAACAAATGTTTTGCTCCTGCAAGTAATTATTTCACTTAAAACAAAATACTCAACTTTTTTTTTCTCTTCCATAATATGAATTCTTCTATCCTTTTGGATAAAAGGCTCAGATGATCTGTTTTCTCTAGCCAGAATGACTGCATATGTTCAAATAATATATCAGTTTCATCAGCCGCCATAGAATAGGCACATATGACAATAAATCATTTTGGGAACTTCCTGAATCCCAGCCAAGTTGTAGACAATAAAAGATTCTGCTTGTAAAGGCAGCTATAAAAGTTAATTTCATACAGGTTCCCCAGCACACATGCTACGGTTCAGTTCCAAACAGATGTGATCTTAGAACAGTGATGGAAAATGGCATGAAGTATTTTCACTAATTCTCTTTATCAGGAGTGTTTTGTGCAACCTTTGGTCATTAACACATTGCAGCAGGTATGAAAACTAAAATCATGTTTCTCCTGATTGTAAACAATAGCTGGATTCATCAAAAGTGGCATGTTTGTCTGAATTTTTGTAATTTGAGCCATTCTCTAAACACTAGCAAAGCTCCCTATTAATGGTTTTCTGGAATTGATTTGCAACAATAATGATCAATCCTTTGGTTTATCTTTTGCTGGAATAGGGATTTTCAAAATGTGGTAAAGATATACCCTCTTCACAGAATCCCTGCTGAGCTTGAGAGTACAAAGTGCAATTGGAGTCCAAGAAATTGTAAAGCAATTCAGTGCTGAGGGCTGAATGAGAGCATCATTAACATTACTCATACACCTGAAATTAATTAAGGCCAACCTAAGGATTAAGGTACTCCAGGCCAACAAAGAAGAAAAGGTAATCCTGATGATGCTATGTGGTGGATATTTATATAATCACACTTTATTCCAGGAGATGCTTTAAAATTATATGCAACACTTTCCATCCATTAGTTCATGTGAACATCAGACCAACTTATAAATCTATGAGGGCTTCTTATTTTGAGGGTTTGAGGAAACAGCTGGCTTAGTGACATTAAATGGCAATCCCAAAAAATGGCAAAGGAAATACAGGCCACAATCCCAGGTGCATGGCCTTGAAGGCCAGAAAAATAGGAGTTCTAACAATTTCAAGGGGTCCACTGGCACTGCATTCTGGGACTGAGCTCCAGGAGGGTATTCCCACTGAAGACACAAGGAATAAGTTCTATCAGCTCAGCCACTGACCATCTGTGCCCTCCCTTTTCTCATCTTTAAATGTGAGAAGGGTAGACTAGAAAATGAATTCTAATTTCTCTTCCATATCTGACCTTCCCCCACATGGGTCCTCTGGATGGAAGTGGCAGAGATGAACTGTTATTTATTGGCAAAAGGCACTAGGAAACATGCTTTGTGAGACTTATTTTGATGGTATCTCCGTCCCTTAGCCATGTTTTATCATAAGTGCTTTGCATTTTCAAGAAATACGCAAAATGTGTCAAACCATGAGTAGGGTGACCTCAAAGCCAGAGGATATATGCTTTAGTAGCAGGGTGAGAGGCAGAGCAGAACCCAGAGCAGGCAAGTCAGAGAGCAAGAAATAGTCAGTTTCACCAGCCACCGTGAAACTTTCAGTTAGTCTTACCAGGGATTGGATCTAAATTTAGTAATTGGTTTTCTTGGAACTAAGAGTAGGTGGTTTTGCTTCACCAAGCAGGTCAGAAACCAATTATCTTGACTGTGACCAGCCTGATCCTTGCTTGAATAACTAAGCTGATTGTGGTGTTTCTCTCCAGATTCCTACAACTCCCACTTTTGACCACAAGCAGGAATGTTCTATAGATAACATAATAATGTCCTGGTCTCACATCCAGGTCAGTAGTCTTCCCTTCCTCTCCCATTTTGCACTTCAGAACACAGCAGGTCTTTGTTAGCAGTCAATCTATCAGTTGAATATTAAAGGTCCCAATTGTTAAACCTCTAATCTGAGACATTCAGTAGAAATAGGACTGGTTTGATGTCCAGACTCTACAGTGAGAATGATTCTTACATTTAGCAATCCTATGAAAGCTACAGTCCTATGTTTACAATAACAAGAACATCTATAGCTCATAGCAATTACATTCTATCATCATCTGTCATAAAACAGACCAATTCACAAGATAATCAAGCTGATTTTGTTTTATCTTACCTAATGATCAAAACAGCTCTTTGGAAACAAGCTGAGTATTCTATTAGGTAGTAAATAGTACATTAGTGGCAGGAAGAGTTTGCATCTGGCTTGCAGGGCACAGCTTTTTACCTGGCAGGATTTGAATCATTGGTTTTTAGTTCATATTACTTTCTAGAAGGTATTGCTGCAAAGGAGCTCTTCTTTATATATTTCTGTGTTTGAAATATGTCTCTTTTAGCCCACAGAGGAGTGTACTCCTCTGGAAGTGTCTAATCCAATACCAGGTGGTTTTGAGCAACCTCCACTCTCAAATGCCTCCACAGAGCAGCCTGATGAGGCAGGAATCCACCAGTGGGCTTCCCATTTAACAGATGAAGAACCTCACATAGAGAAAAGATGAGCCATGTGTCCAGGGACACACTCATGGTGTTCAGACTCTTTTTGCTCTGTATTACCAGCTCTGGAAGACAATCATAAAAGAGCAGTTCAAAGGAAGAGCCTCTTAGGTGGATTTTTGTATTGACCATGGATTTCCTTTTATCTTGAAGTTATTCTATAGATAACATAATAATGCCCTGGGCAACTCCTTCAAGTAAGTAATCCTTGAACATGATTATTTGTTTTAAGACATTACCACCCAAATACAAGATTTCTTTTTTCCCTTGTTAAGGGAAAAAGAAATCACATATAGGTACTGTTAGCCAGGAATCCCCCCATGGTATTTTCACCATCACTTGGCAGATTTTTTTTTCAGTTATAAAATACATTTTATTACAAAAAATTGCATAAGTCTTATGATTTGAGAAAGAAAATGAACCCTGAAGACATCTAAAGATAATTCCAAATACTCTAGAAAACTTGTTTTCCTAAGCAGAGATTTTATAGTTCCTACCCAAACATTGAAATTATATTTGTAGTTTTATATAATTAGTAGATAAATGTCAAAATACCCAAGCTGATATCTGGCCATTCAAAGTTATTTAAAAGTAAACTGATCATTTTATAAATAAATAAATAAATAAATAAATAAATAAATAAATAAATAAAATTAAACATAATTAATTAATCAGTCATAATAAAATCTACCTCAATGCTTGAGAGTTGATCAAATGCTTTCACACCTATCACATTAAATCCCTATAAATTTCTCTAAATTGGCTATAATCCTCCTTTCATAGATTAACATTGTGGCCAAAATACTCAAAAACAAGATTCATACTCAAGTCTTGTGAATCAAAATCTAAAGTTTCTTTTATTTTACCACAAATAAATCTCAGCAAGGCCAGATCAATTTACAATCCAAGTTGAGGAATTGTTAGTTGAATAAAGAGTAATTTTACATTTCTGAAATCGTACATGAACTAATTTTAAAATGGATAAAACATCATAAGCCTAAGAGGATTAAGTTCTAAACATGATGTATTAGGCAGTTCTCCTTTAGCTTTAATTCTTTGCCCGATGCTGTGTCTATTTATAATGTTCTCCCAACAACCAACTAAGTTTAGTTAAGTTATCAGGGGTAAAAATCTTCTTGTTCTCTGGTGGTTTGATTCTGCATCCTTCAGAGAATGTCATCATCTCACTCCATCTCTCTTTCTAATATGCCTCCTGAGGAGAAGGATTCAGATTCTGGGTGAGCTCTGTATTGTCAACATCTCCAGGGCAACAGGTCCTTTGCAAATAATGTTCAGCAACCACAGCTTCTGCTCCCTGAAAACTCCTTGAAAAAGAACAAATTACCTCATTGATCACCAAGCAAATACCATTGAGAGCTGTACTATTATGGGTCTAGCAAGAGAAAGGGTTCCAAATAGGCTTCCCCCAGATGTGCCACTTGGGTGTGTGAATTATTTTGGGCTAAAAGCAATCGAGACCCTGTGGGCTTATGAGAAATTTTTACCACTCCTTTAAAGAGTTTAAATTTGGGGCCTTGCCCATAGGAAGAGTTATCAGCAGAGGTAACTTTTGATGCCCTATCTACATGGCAGGGCAAACTGCTAATTACTGAACATTTGCTCTTCTTACCTTCCTGCAATGAACTCCCTCTCCTCTGCACTTCCAAGGTGCCTTACTTCATCCTTAGCTCAGAATATCATACATACTTCATTTTCCCTTTCTGTCTCTGAACCTCTCATGTATGCAGGGCTCCCATACGTACACATGTAATTAATTTTTTTATTTTTCTCTTGTTAATCTGTCTCATGTCTATTTGATTATTAGACCAGCCAGAAGAACCTAGAAGAGTAGAGGATATATTCTTCCTCCCCAACAAAAGGGAAGGCCAGGAATAGATTTGGCCTACAGAGACCAAAACTGTTTGCCAGCAATTGGTGATTAATTATTTGTTTCTTCTATTAGAATTTTAATATTTTGGTTCATGGGTGTTTTACTCAACTCCTAGGAAAGTATCTGTAAGTAATAAGGG